GGAAAAGTCCCCCCAACAAGGTATCAATTTTTGTATTCCAATAAATGTGCCTCTCGCAATAAAGCCCACTGACTCTTCCCAGAATGCAGAAGAGAAAAGGGACTGGAGTAGCTTATCTGGTGAGATCTGCATTTGGTTATAAATTAGTGTGTGGTCTACTTTGTACTCACAGGTGGCCAGTGGTCATACACCTGCTCCTCACAGCAGATACTATAGAAATCTGATATTTGTGGATCATTATAGAAGCAAGAAACTCCTGGTATTATCAACTGCCCCTCAGTCTGCTCCTGGAATAGAAAACTGCTGCAACTGGTATATCATCGCTTCTAATTGCTGGTGTTAGATGCAGTACAAAATTTAGAGCAGTCCTTCCTTTCTTCAGAATGTTAGCTTTAAACTACCAGAAACTCAAACTCATGTTCAGGGACTACAAATGGCACAAACTTCAAGGACATGTATCACTAGATATATTTGCTGTCATAACTCTTCAAAAAACACAGAAATTTATACATATATGATTCAGCTTTAAAATATAAGAATTTTCTTCCCACTCTTTTAAATTACCATGCTCTTACCCATTATTTTCCCAGCTTTATTCCCGGAGAAGAGTTCTCTCCCACCTCACTAGTTTCAGCACTTACAAAATAGAGGCTTTACATACCTATTTTGTACCTTATTTTGCCCTCAAATACAAATTACAATAACTAGAAGTATATTGATGAAAAGTTATGGCTTTGCTTCTGAAAGTCAGCTGCAAGGTTTGAGGATGCTATAGCAGCTGAAAAAGTCAGGCTTAGAATACAAGGCCTATACACCAATGTTTTTCAAAGTTGGCAACTTTAAAGATGTGTGGGCATCAAATCCCAGAATTCCCTAACCAGCCTGTCATAGGCAATAAATTATCCACCCTTGATATAGATGAAATACAGCCATGGGTAAAATACACCAATGGGTACATTACGTATGTGAAGATGTGAAAGGAATTTTTAAACTGAAACATTTCCATCATGGGCAAAAGCAAAACTAGCACCACTGTTGATTTTGTTTTAGCTTCAAGCGACAACCTAAATCTTTACTTTCAGTGACAAGAACTTTGTTCATAATTTTTTCTTCTGAATTGTTGTGAGAATTTGTAATTATTTTACTAAATTATACATTTACAAAAGCCTAGTAGCTTTACAATATCCTTTCTTCAATGCAGTACCTTTCACACAAGGTACAGCCAAATCTAATGATAGTTGCTCAACATTCTACTACTATTTCAACTATTACAAACCTTCTGCAATATTTTTAACTTGATAAAACTATTCTGATGAGATTGTATACTTCATTATAGGTACATACAGAGAAGAGCCAATAGCAAGGGAAAAGGATGATTGTTACAGAAGTGATTTATTTTCCCCCGCTAAACAAAAATGGACTATATTCTGGAATAGTAAATTTGTACCTTCAATAATGTACAAATATTTTTTTCCAGAAGCTAGCATACAAGATTTAACTCAATCCTGTATTACCTGGTGATGTATAAGTTAATGTTTGCATTTTAGCATAACAAAATTAAAATCTTTGATATGTTAACTGAAACTAAACGATCCCACAGAAGTCTCTTGTTCTGCTTAAATACTTTAATCTCAATGACAGATAAACAAGCAAAATTAAACTCTAAAGGAATGACAATGTTAGGAAAGTAAGTCCAATCAAAATAAGACAACTGTACAAGAATAAAGATCTGAGAACTGCAATAGGAAGTACTGGAAAATTCAGAAATTTACATTTATATAAAATAACATTTGTCCTTTAGCACCTACATAGATCAAAGAAGAGCCATTTTTGGCCTTAATTATGTGGTTACTCTCTAACGTTCTACACAATATGTTTTTTATTTCAGTAAAATATAAACATTTAATTTACTCTGTAACACTGGTTTAAAAAGTATACATATACTATTTCTTACATATGGTCCTTTTGGAAGTGGGTTTAATATGATGATTACTGGATATTTGTGAACAAAGTAATTACTACTTCCAGATCAGTTAGCCAACTTTTAAAAACAAACTTGTTATTCAATTACTGTAATGTAGTTTCAGTCTTCGACTTTTATCCTTTTGTAATGTGTTGTACCACAAAATTTCTAAGTGATGTTTGAAATTCAGGTGAATGCAACATTATGTAGAATAATTAGTGATAAGATTTGAGTTAGTTCAAACAACTGAACAGGAGTTGAGAAATAATTTGTAATTCAAACCATTAACTCCAACTGAAGGGTTCTTGGTCCCTACACTATTTTACTTTGAATAGTAGTATCTGATTTCTAGTAATGATCTCTTATGAACTCCTAAAATGTCCCTTTTCTGCTGATGTTTACATCATGGTGTTACATTTGCAGATTTATGTTCCTCTTTTAGACTCTGCATTTTTAGTCAAACTATATATACACGTTACTATAGGATGGTCCCCCAGTGCCTCCTGTCCTATGGCCACCCCCTTGTTGTGAGTGTGGCACCCTGCCTCCCATCATTGGCTCCTGTACGAATCGTGCTGGGGATTTCTTCCCTTTGCTGGTCGTATTTCTTTGCTGTTGCATGAGACAGTGGTTCTGGTCTTGCATATGCTGCGCCCGTTGCACTCGTTGTGAATTGTTACGCTGTTGTTCCCACTTCCTTAGTGCCTGATAAGCAGGCAGTAATTCTATGTGGCGATTAATTGAGTGTTCATCCAACAGCCAAGCCTCCTTCAGTAACCGGCCGCCTTTGGTGGGGGACCATCCTATAGCAACGTGTACCCAGATACGTCCAAAGCGGGCAAAGAGAGCGACAATAAGAGAGGCGGTGATCCCTGAGCTTACAAGTATATAGATGGATGCGAGACTATTAGAAGCAGAGTGCACAAACTGCCGGTCTTATGAGCCGGCTTTCAAACCTCCGGCATTCCACTCTGACAACGTCGGCAGTTAGCCGACAAAAGCTAAGTTTATCAAACAGTTGTTAGTTTATTAAACAGTTGTTTTTATATTTATCCCGGTGTTCGACTACTTTTCTCAACATGAATATACCCGGGATTCGCATTTTTAGTATAAGTAGAGACAATATATATATATATAACTATTTAGAGACAATATATATATATATAACTTTCAGAAATCTTGATCATAAATCAGCCCAGTCCTCTGAGTAATTTTGTTGCTTTTCTTTGAACTTAGGATTTGTAGAGGTCTCAGAAGACTGTGTGTTGGAGGATATGTTTGCAGATAATAGAAGATGGTCTTCCTTTGCTAGGAAAAGAAATGTGCAGGAGCTCCTAATGGGGGTTGAGAAATATATAGCAAAAGAAATATAATGTTGGCTTTATTTCTTTTCCTTCTTGATGCTCATAGTTCAGAGAATGTCTATGTGGGGGAGTGAAAATGAAACAAAAGTTCTCTGCCATAAAATAATGTATAACGCCTCAGGATAGGAGGAATTGCATAAATAAGCTCTATCCTGAAATAGAACTTGAAGAGCAGTTTTAAGTTAGTTATATATTGAAGCCAATAAAAGGGACAATCTTAAAAACTGCCAACTGAGCAGAAATTATTTTGCTTCTTCCTTGATGGATATAGTCACTGTAATAATTTATAGTAAGTGAATAATTTTGTGGAGTAGCATTGTTCACAGGCAACGATAAATTAGACTATTTTAGAAGCCTTGCTTATCAGAAATAAAGAAATAAGCCAGCAAATGTAATTATTTCTACTTATCGTTTATTCCCAGAAAGAAATGAAGGAGTCTCCAGTTTTTCAGATCAATGAGAACATTTAATGAGCAGTTCCTGGGTGCCTTTGCAAAACAGCTGATTTGGTATAGCTTGCTGTTCCAAATATGATTATGAAAATATTGCCATTCCCTCTAGATCCCCAAGAAATTTTATGATATCCAGTTTCCTTTTGTTTTTATTTTTTCCTGGGCTGCTGGGCACACATTAAAATAATACTCTGGGCCACTAACAATTTAAATTTTTCTAAGAATGCTTTGGGGTGCAGAGTTAAGCAAACACAAAAAGCCCTGTGTATGTTTTGTTCAGTGTAATGTAAAATCTAGGATACCTTACTGGAACCTCTACAAACAAGCCTAAGTAGTAATGAAAAGCAAATTCAAGTTTATGATTCTGGCTTATATGAAAGAAAAAAAGTAGATGAAATTTAGGATATTATTCTATAGAAATGTTCATTCTTAAAGTATATTAGTTAGGTTTGGATTTACAAGAGGAAAGAAAATTATGTTTAGAACAAGATTAATCAGTTTGGCCTAGTGGATAAGATACCAAGCTAGAAATTGGGAAAATGTGAGTCCTAAGTTCCACTTTAACCATGAAAGCTGTTTGGTCAGTCCAACTCACCTCACAGTGTTGTTGTTTTGGGGAAAATAGGATTTGGATTGGTAGATATCAAACCTCCAACTAAGTACATTAGGTAGCGTTCTCAATTTATTCCACAGTCTGGTTTTCTCTGATATCCCCGTAGCATTTATGGAGCTAACTATGACTATGAACACCTATATGTGATACACTTGAGACTAGTGTTCCTATTCAGGTGATGTGCCATAGCTAGAATGGGGAAAAGAATTCTGGTAACGCAATTCAATGCTTCAGTCAAACCTCGGTTTGGAGAAAGGTTTAGCATTGGTTTAAATTACTAACTACTTGCTTGTTCCTCAATTGTACAAATGCACAGGTCAACTGTAGCAATTTTACCATAGCCAAATAGCTGAAAAGAATGAAACCTTGGAGAAACCAAACTCTTCCTTTCCTATGATCAGATAAATAAAATACAGCCAAAAAAATACATAGAGAAGACAGTGTTCCTATATATCCCAAAGGGGATCACTATACTGAAGTACTTTCAGACATAATCACGATATGTGTAACACATATTTAGGCAGCATATACTATCAATAATAAAAAATAACAGAAATTGGATGATGAAATACAGTTGCTTCCAAAAATCAAACGATAATGGAAGTTACCTCTGCAGCTTTATTGGAAGGCTCCAATCCAGACATATTATCCTGCATTAATTGTTGTAGGAGCTGTAACTGAGCAACACTGAGGAAGAAATCCAGACCTGTTGTCATATTCACTTCCAAAGAATGGCCACATACTAAAATTTCCTAGGAAAGAAACAAGTTTGCAAAACAAATTCTATTGGTTACAGCTGATTCTTGATATTTATATAATTTTTATTTTTTAAGACAATATAAACTGTTTATATTCCCTAAATTGTTTATTAACATTTTCTCTATCTCCTTCAGCAAAAAAGCACTATGCACCATCTGTAAAATAAAATCAAGTGGAGGAGTGATGGAACGTCATACAGCTATGGTTCCAACAAGGAATTTAATGATTAAGATACTTTCTCTTTGTTTCATGTATTTCATGTGTGAGGTCCTGTTTCTTTGTTGTATTAAATTCTGGGCTGTCAGAGCCCTTATTCATTTTCTTGCCAGAAAATTGTAATTCTCCTTTCTCACAGAGATGTATTTGAGTCTACAAGCACATCTTAGTTTATAATGAAACTGTATTTTGCAGCTCACAGATAGCTGATTCAATTGATTTGTAGCTGTCTGCTAATTTGGAGCATAGATAAATGACCATTGTCCCCTGGCTTTTATAACCCACACACAAAGCAAACAATCATGACCATGTTTTAGAAATTAATGAAAGGAGAAAATGAACAGATTTGCTTACTAAGCAGGAGATCATATCCTCTTGTTATAAAAAATATGTGCATATTCATCCTTAGTAATCTGTGGTAGATTTCTCCCTTTCTTACTGAATATCCAAAGGGAGTACATTCAAGAAAAATTAAAAGAGCTAAAGCATTCACATTCCTGAACAACAGGAACAGTAAAATTCATCTGTTACTTTGTACTACATGCTTTCTTTATTCATCTATTTTTTTCCAAACTCTTTTTTCAGCACACATGCAATACAAGACAAAGCTGTGGAGACTGGGGCCATTGGGCAGCAGAATAGGGCATGCTTTATATAGAGCCCTTCAGTTCTATTCCTGGCCATCCCCAGTGACAGAAACTCACGTACCATGGCTACAATCCTCTTCCAGAAAGGATGAAAGCCTCTCTGCAAAGTTTGAAATGAATTGATGAGAGCTAAGGGGAAAAGCAGCTGGATGCTAAAAAGACAATATAAACTTATTTAAAGAGAAAATAAGCTTCCTTGAAACTGTATTTCCTTTGGGTGATCTAAAATTAGGCTTTTGACCTTCTTGCTTATAAAAGAAATTATCAATTGGGATCCTAAATGATCTGCTTACCTCTTGACATTTAAGGATTTTTAGGCTGATTTTCAGAAAACAGGTTCTGAAACCTGATTTAAACATAATTTTGGGCATGGAAAATAATCTGACATTTCTTGCGGTTGGCATCTCAACTTAAATCAGTATATGTTTCATTTAAAAGCAGAATTTATTATCCATTAGACATCTCACGACAATGTTGAAGGAGAGGAAGAAAACAATTCTGCTTGGACTCTCTGTTCTGGCCCATGATGGATAAGTGCATATCACACAGTATTTTAACACAATTTAATATAGCATTTTAATAATTAACAAATGTGCAGATATAAAGCTAAGTTGTAAACATCTCATATCCAGTACTGACCTCTGTGTGTAAATTCTCTGGGGAAATTACTTTTGTGAAAGTAATGGCAGGAGCTGCAGTTACCCGTGCAGTAAAGTCTGTTAAAATTGGAGTTAAAATAGCTCTCCGTTCTTGATGGTGTTTTATGCTAAAAAATAAAATGAAATAAATGCACACTAAATGATAAACTCTTATGGCCAGAAAACTATTCTTTTATATTTGTAAATATTAATTTCTTAGCCTAGTAACATTACTGAAAAAATTCTGCTGTGAAATTGATAAAGGATGAAATACCGTTACAATAATGCTCAGAGAACATTATATGTATACAGACAGCATATACCAGTGGTGGCGAACCTATGGCACGGGTGCCAGAGGCGGCACTCGGAGCCCTCTCTGTGGGCACACATGCCATTGCCCCAGCCTTGCCTCCCCCCGTGACCCCCTCCTCACCAGCAGCCCTCCTGAAGGAGAGTCGCCCCCCAAGCATGGCCCATGCGGAGCAGCACAGCCAAGGACATGGCAGCCAGGCAGCGTAGACAAGACTCTGCCTTCATGCCCCATCATGCACAGTTGATGCTGCAGGGCGTGGGGAGAGGGCGTGGCCGCCATGGCGCTGCTGGGCTGCCTGGGCGATCTGCGGTGGGCCCTGGAGGCAGTGAGTGGCCTTGCGGGCAGGCGGGATGGGGCAGAGCAGGGGCGGGGCCAGTTTTGGGCACTCAGTCTCTAAAAGGTTCGCCATCACTGGCATATACCAAAGCTGAGAAAATGCTCTAAGATTATTTTTAATGCTATCAATATTTTAATATAAAAAATTTAAATATTCATGTTAACTGATACCTGATATCCAAAGAGAGGACTATTCAACACTCACTGCCTATTGGTGAATCAGCAAAATAAGCTTTGCAGGATATTTAAATATTTCACTAAGAAAAAAGGCTAAAGCAGGTATTGGAATTAATGGAAATGTTAAAATAAACTGAAGTCAAGACACTATCTTCAGATCTGAAGTTTTTTTTCCAGTGACTCTAAAGAGATAAAATGAAATAAACCGGTGCTTTCTTTGCTAATTTTCCTACAGGGTACCACTCTTTAATGTTCCATTAATTTGGTACAGGTGTTGACCATGTGAGTATCATCAGTGAGGAATGGTATAATGTAGTATGATCATCTAAGATAAGAACTGCTGAGCACAAAAGAATTGAGGCCTTTGAACTATGGTGCTGGAAAAGACTCCTGCGAGTCCCCTGGACTGCAAGGTGATCAAACCGGTCAGTCCTAGAGGAGAGCAACCTGACTGCTCTTTAGAAGGCCAGATCCTGAAGTTGAAACTCAAATACTTTGGCCACCTAATGAGAAGGAAGGACTCACTGGAGAAGAGCCTGATGCTGGGAAAGATTGAGGGCAATAGAAGAAGGGTACAACAGAGAATGAGGTGGCTGGATGGAGTCACTGAAGCAGCAGGCGTGAGCTTAAATGGACTCCAGAAGATGGTAGAGGACAGGAAGGCCTGGAGGAACATTGTCCATGGGGTCGCGATTGGTCGGACATGACTTCACAACTAACAATAAAGTATGATCATCTAGGCGTCTGCTACATATTTATCTTTGAAACAGAAGGAACATTTCAGAAATATTAAAATATATGACTCTTTTTTGTACAGTTTTGAAAAAAAAATTGTTTCAAGTATAGTACTGAGAAAACAAGTAAATAAATGCTCCAGAATACATCCCCACAAAATAAGTATTAGAGATGCAAGTGATCATTTTTTTCTTAAACAGAAATTGGGTGTTTAGTGTTTATTTGGTGCTCATTTCCATACATTATTGTTCTGTACTGCAAAAGAAACTGATCATTTAAACGCTATAACAGAAAAGGAATAAAATTGTTCTTTCCCTTATATTCTTGAGAGAACTACCAGTTATGTTATTAGGTGGCAGGAAGGAAATCTATGCTTTTCTATGCTATCATTTTTTGTTTTTAGCTTGTATTCATGCCCCTCTGCTAATCGACAAAGCCTTGCACAATTAAACAACAGGTGAATTTTGCCAGAAATCTCAAGGCACAGAAACTGAGAATATCTTTTTATCAGAGCTCTCCTGTGAAACCTACTAGGATTTTCCAGCCATTTAGTGTTGTGTCTACCTGTTGCATATTCACACTGGTTTAAGGCAAGGAGAAAAAATATTCTGGACCCAGCTGTCTTAGAGGAATAGTTAGATAGATTCATTGGACATTTGGAATACTTCAGAATAAAGCCTTAATGTTACATGTATACTTTAACCTAAACAAAGCAAAACCTGCCATGTGTATGTATATGTGTAACAAAATCCCACCAAACTCAACTTCTGTGGGAGATATGGCAAACTGAAGACAGCTCTGCCTTTTTGAACTGAAAGCCTCGACTGCAGCAAAGACCAAAGAATTGGTGAATAGGTTTCCTAGGAACATCTTTGGATAAGGAGAGGATGGGAGATTGCCCACATGTGCTCTGGATGACTGCTCCTCATGAGGAAACTGCAGGAGAGGTTATTTGTAGGCTTGCGTGCCGGGAGGCAAGGAAATTAGCAAACTTGCTCTGAACAGTGATAAAGACTTTTAAAAGACAGTAGTTCACAAACCTCACTTTCTAATCAATTTCAGAAACTGTTCATAACTACTTGTAAGTTATTAGAGACCTTCAGAACAATCTCTGAATACACTGCATGAGTTTGCCTCCATTCCTGAACAAAAGAAAATTTTAATCATAAGCTTAAAAATTTAAAGAATCTGAAATAAACTGCAAAAAGCTAAATAACATTTAGGGTTTTTTTTAATATTAAGGGTGTTTGAAGCTTTTAGAGATGCTATATTTAGTTATTCTAAACTGCTAGGATACAAAAATGCAGCAAATAAAGAAACAAGGAACATAGAAATAAATGTACCTGCTTGATCTGAAACCTTAGAAAAATGCTTTATGTTCCTGAATCACAGCCTCAGCAGGTAGGTATTTGTCCCCCCCCCCTTACATAAGATATTGCAGAACTGCACTGATACAGGATTATTTTAATTGCATTTTTTGCATTCACTGAAATGCATATGCCGGGCAGCATATCTTTAAAGGACTGATGTGACCGTTGACTGAAAACAAAATCAAAGTCTATTGTAGCAATGTAATCAAAATGGAGAACTAAAAATGGAAGATGTCAGTGTAACATTTCTAACTAGATTTGAGTTGGAAGCCCTTTTTTGCATATCAACAAATCAACAGAAATTTGTCATTTCAGAAACTGCAGCTGTTTTCATTTACAGAAGCACAGAAACTGGTTTCAAGCCAATTGGGGAAAAACATTTTTTGTCGTCTGTTGGCTTTAAAATGTCTAAACTAGTTCTGTTCAAACTTTTACAAAAGTACAAAAGGGATAATAATGCTGCTTTTTTCTACAGTAGTAATGGAAATGCCAGGTTTTTGGGCTGAGTTACACTTTATGGCTATAATAAGCTATCTCAGAAATATAGACATAACTGTATCTGTATGATTATTGTTCAACAATTCTATAAACAATTCAAAATGCACTGTTCAGAATCCTAGCTCATGGAAAACGTGTTTGCAATGGAATGCAAACATACACTTCTATGTATAAATAAAAAAAACCCAATAAGCTCAAATCTATGAGATGCTGTTACCATTGTGCCTTTGATTAGAATCCACGAAGCACCACTTCCAAGCAGATTCTTACCTACTGGCCATATTCCACTCAAGTGCTGGATTCTGAGAATTCCTTTCATTCTCTGGCACTGCTCTGCTTTTACCATTTTCCTTTTCTGGCTTCAGCTGTTCCCACTGAGCAGTACCAATGTTGATGGACTGGAGGTCTATTTGGTACTGTCTATCTTCAACCTCTGAACCAGGATCTCGAAGAACTCCCAAATTCAGTGCTCTCCTATGATGGCAAAAATTAAACAATTTCATTATTTTCTTCAAATTCAAAGCTAACTCAACAGTTTTAAGACAACAATAACATTAATTGATAAAGTTACTCTGAGATAAGAACCATTCACTTATCCATTTATTCTGTTGGGAGACTAATATTCTCATACAGCATCTGAATTTTCTGTAGTTATTCTATTTTCATTTGTTTCCTTTCTTTTATTTCTTTTTTCCATGTCTAGTTTTCCCTCCAAATTATTCTTCATACTACCAAATAATGGTCTATCTCCATGGTGGCGAACCTATGGCACGCGTGCCACAGGCGGCACGCGGAGCCGTCTCTGGTGGCACGCGAGCCATTGCTGGGCCGAGCTGCTCCCTCCTCCTCTCTGCGCATGCGCAGTCTGGGAATAGGCGAGAGGTTATAAAAGGAGCAATTTTCTGCAGAAGCAGCGTTTGCTGCAGACAGCTTGAGAGCGAGCACGAGTCGGAGCAGACAGTGAACAAGTGAGCGAGCACAAGCCAACAGCTTGGTGGCCATGCCCACTCGGTGGCCACGCCCACTCGGCACCCAGCGATGCACAAGTGGGTTTTGCATTGCAGTTTGGGCACTCGGTCTCTAAAAGATTTGCCACCACTGGTCTATCTCATGCCATACCTTCTCACTGTCTCATATTCTTAATTCTCTTAAATTATAAATAATAAAATAAATCATGATTTTAGAGTTATATCATTCTTTTGTTATATGTACATGTTAAAATACATATTCAAAAGAAACAGATCTTTTTTCTAAGTAGGTAGCTATCATTCTTGGATCTCCAGATGGAGCAGAGTAGGTGAATTACACACAAGGAAATGAAGATCAGAACTATTTTTCCATCCCCTTTCTCCAACCTTCACAGACATGCAACATATTTATTTTATTTTATTTCATTTCATTTGCTAATACACATGTTTTACCATTTATGCTTCTTATAAGTTGAATAAAATGAATTATAAATTTGAAAAGCATAAAACTTCGATGTAAAGCTCTGTACTAAAGATGATCATATTATTGCTAAGATCTATAAACTTTATTGAAATAGAAACAGAGGACAACGAAGTTAAAGACTATTATGATAAAAATGTCATGGTTCCGACAGATGAAACCCTTCAAAAGAACTTCAAGGCGTAAGGGACTGGGCAACTCGCTGCTCGATGTCTCTGAAGCATTTGATCGATGGGCCTGTAGATGGTTTGGGTTTTTCAGTGACCACAGCGGTTGGAGGCTTTTGGGAGGGGTGGCGGCTGTTTGGGTTGATCTGGCCTCGGCCCGGCTTCTTGCAGTGGTGGCTTTTTATAGCGGGCAAGCTGGATGTCCAGCCTTACTGCTGCCTGGTACCATTTTTGCAATTGATTAGGGACCACTCGATAGACACAAGCTTGGGAGAGATGATCATGCAGTCCCTCCTTGAAGTGATGAACTAGAAATTGCTTGGGCCACCTCTCTATTCAGCCAGCTATCTTGTGAAACTCTCGCACATATTCCAGTGCAGGCCTGCCAGCTTGTCTTATCTTATGAATTTGCTCCTCCAGTTTGAGAACTATGGATGGGTCCTCAAACTTTACTCTCAGTCCTAGGAGGAAGAGGTGGAGGTCCCCCAACTCAGGTGCTTGCTCATTGTATGAATTGTTCAGCCACTCGGATGCTTCCCCTTCCAGATTGGTCGCAACCACGTTGACCATAGCGGCTGGGTTCTGGTAGAAATAGGCACAGCAGTTCATGTGGGAATGCACTTGGTCAAGGAAGATCAGCTTCTCTGGGTCTGTTGCTCTAAGGGGTGGCTGCACTCCCCAGTGAGCCTGCATTCCCAGTGGTTGCTGGCCTCTCCACTGTGGATGTTGCACCCCAATGGTTTCTGGCCTCCCCATGGTGGCTACGGCATCCCCAGTTGCTACAGGCCCCCCAGTGGTTGGAATATGTTCGGGGGCTGTGGCCATCCGATGGCTGTTGCTGCACTGCCGGTGGCTGCTGTCCCACTGGTCCCTCCGGTGGCTGTGGCATCCCCCATTGCTGTAGAGGCCTCGGGCTGGGTGGCCAGTAGGCACATCGATCTGGGCTTTGGCTGTCCTGGTGACGGCTCGGGCTCTTGCCTTGCTGGCAGCGATCTGGGCTTCTGGAGGGGTGACGGCGATCCGGGCTGCCATGTCTGGAACGGCGACTGGGGCTGTTCCTCTCTGCGGGGCTGGAAGCTATTGTAGGTGGCTTCATGGATGGGGAAGCCACTTCCCCCGTGCAGGTGGGGCTGTGGCTTCCCCTCGGCATGAGTTGGTGACTGCCCCGCCAATCATGATCGATCACGTATGGAGAACGGGAAGGTTGTTTCCCACTTCTCATCTCTAGCTCCTCAAATCTCTCCACCAACTTCTCCACTGACTACGGACTGCGGACAGGTACTTCCACTCACCAGAGTCCTCAGTGGTAATCAATTTCACAGCTCTCCATCAGTCCGGGGAATGCGACTTGCGAGAAGTTCCTCTTTGCAGCTCGACCTCGTCCACCTTCGAAGAACTTGATTGTGGCAAGGCCATCTCGAGGTGTCTGGAATCTCCACTGGGTAGGGTCCAGTCCAATGACCAGATCAGTTGTTCTCGCAGCTTGGGTCTTGCTCCCATCTGGGAGAGCTGAAAAGATTCCTTCTCCACCAGTGCGCTGGCCTGCGCTCCCTCCTCTGAAGCAGCAGCCACTGCTGGGGTGCTGGTTTCAGGCGCCCCTTCCTTTTCCACGTTGAGATCTTCCCTGAATCTTTGTTGGTCTATCTCTCGACTCTAGGGACAGCCACTGGAGCTCGGGACCCCAGGATGGATAGGTAAAAATTGTAGTTTTGGGGTTAATGTCATGGTTCCGACAGATGAAACTCTTCAAAAGAACTTCAAGGCATTGTTTACCTTAAAGAATCTTTTATTCGAGAAACAAAGTATCAGCACTACATAGTTGAACCCAAAAACTAAATTCCCATCCCCTGGATACAAAGTAACAAAGTACAATTCCCACCCCCAATAAAAAGTCATAAAGCACATTCCCCAATTAGCTTGAAGTGCGGGCTTTCTCCCCAGCTCTCCAGCCCGCCAAAACGTTATCAGCTCAGGACCCAGTTTGTCCTTGGATTCCCACGGCAGAGTTATTATTATTATGACTAACTGAACTCTCATCCCAATCCCCCCCTCCAAGCACCAACTAATTCTGAAAACATAGAGAAAATGGCTGCATTTTCATCTATTGTCAAAGCAAGAACATCCGATGTCAGCAGCGTTGATAAAAACAGGCGAAAAAGTGGATATAATCTTTAGTTGAACCAATGGGACAGTATATAGAAGAAAGGATTGAATTATATAATCTTAAAGAAAACTTTTATAAAATGTATGTATTGGTAGTACAACACCAGATAAATTGTTAAAAATGTATAAGGAAATTTTAAATTCACGTTTATTGCTATAAAGAAGGATCCAGTTTTTATCTCTTAGTATCTCCAACTAATAGTGAGTAAGACTGATAGTATGGAGAGCTGCAACCAATTATAGGTTGTCTCCTGTTGTGGAAATTGGTCTCTTACTGACTAGCTCAAAAATTATGCTTATATTTTATTATTAAGGGCTAGGTAAAGAAGTTTCCTTATGTGTTATCTTCCTTATAGTAATCCTTTGTTGAAGATCTTGGCACTTCATTAAACTTTAATGTCATAGCCCCATACAATCAGCTAAAATTTAAAACTTTAGCTGATTGCATTTTTGCATTAGTATATAGTAACTGGACAATAAATGACTAAAACTTCTCTAAACCTTTTTTTTTGGGGCATCCTATAAGATCTTTGTCCTCTTTATTGCAGGTGGCATCAAAGGATAAATTGAAAGTCTACCATAGTTGGTAAATAACAAAGTAATGAAATACAGTCAAAGAAGACCTTAAGCATGTAACCGGAAACATAACTTTAATGTTTTCCTTTTTAAATTGATTTAGTCTGGGTCAGGCATTTTGTATGTTTATACAAGAAACAGCTCATGTTGAATCAGTTACTATTCATTGCTGAATAGGCATAATTCAGAGGCTTATTGTAAGAAATTCATCATGTATTCCCTTACAGTCCACTGGAGAATTATAAAAGGCTATAGAAAGCAGGTAAAAAAAGCCTCCAAACAAAAATATGTTTAAAAGTTATGAGTAATAGTACTATATGATATAATCATATTTAATGTAAAAACTTTATCTACTTTCCAAAATCAGATATTATAATGGTTATAACATTTAGCTCTCAATATTATGCTTTGAAGTTTACATCCAGGGAAACAGTTTTTCTTGGGTTAACATGCTTTTTAAAGGTTTTTATAAAGATAAAATATCAATATATTGTAAACTGCTCTTAACAAAGGATCCAAAGAGCAGGTGTTCATATTCTGTGTGTTCAACTATTTTGTGTGTTCATCCAGTCAAGTTACTAGGTGTAAGAAACATTCAAAAAGAAAAAGCTGTTGGCATACATATTTTTCTTCCCATTTTCTTTTTCATGCGGTTTTGTGTATAAGAGCCAAAACATTACTTCAACTTAAAGCACCTCTGAAAACATATTTTGGCATTTTAAAAATAACTTAGTTTATGAAATATGGAAAAGACCACAAAACAATAAATAATTTTCTCTTCAGCAAAGTAATGGAATCTGCCCTACACAGAATTTTAATAATAATAACTTAAAAAGAAAGTTTAAGATTTGGTTTCAGCTTCCTCACATGAAGATGACAAGCACAAGCTATGTTTGACATTGATTGATTGACTAATTAAACCAATCTCCCCACATATTTTAGGTGACATGACCAGCCATGAAATTCTCGATTTGAACTGAGATCATTGTACTGCCAAGGGATTTTTAACTCCTCTTATTTTTTTTTCTTAATTAGTACTGTATCCATAGCTTTAAACTATTGTCCATTTAAGCAAAATTTACAATACCTAAATCTTATTCTTATGGAAAAATAACATAT